AGCCACTCTGAATATTTTTTTAAATTCCCATTCTAGTCAATAAATAGTCAGAACACATCTTTTTGTAGCTTGTGTTTGCAAATTTGAGCCCAAACAAGAATAAAGTATTACAATATAAAGCGAAGGGGAGAGCTCTCTGCTTTCCTCTAGTGGACCTATTTGCTAGGGCTGGGGAGAAGTTCAGAAAAGATAAGCTGCATGCACCATTTTTATGCAAAAATGTCAGCATCAATCCAAGGAGAAGTGTATGTGCAATGCTGAATTAGGTCCTGAAACTGTGTTTCGAGATAAAAATCTGTTTAAGCTCTGCATGTACCAAGGATCGAAAATGGACAGGCTACCCTGGCAGTCTAATCTAAGTCTTGTAGTTCAGTGCTGTACAAAAGCAAAGCAGACAGATTATGAAGCAAGAATCCAGACATGAGACATGGTTGCTCAGTATTTCTTTAAGATAATTTTGGCATATTATCTCCTGTGTTTTCTTAGGATTTCCATAGAAACAAATCTACACCATCCTCTTAAGGATACTAGCCAGATGTCAGAGCCTCTGGCTTGCAGACAGCATGAAAACTTGCAGACGCCCTGTGTAGCAAAAGGGAGAGACACCTTCTGCACCCCGAAACGTACTTTTTTTCCATTAACCTACCTGAAAAGTGAAGAGTGTTCAGAAGAATGCAATATGTTACAGCATTAAGGGGTGCTTTATTTGTAGGGCAAAAATTCTTCTGGCTAAGTCTTGTAACACCGTTATCTTATTGCTCCTGTTTGTAGGACTGGAATAAGTTTTCTTTCTTTCTTTTTTTTCCTTTTTTATCCCCTCCATCCTTCAAGGACACAAAAGTTGAGATGTTCTCCTAGCTTCTAAAGCCTTGACTGGCCTTAGGTGGCCTTAGATCTCAGCCCTCAGGGAGACTTTCCTATATTTAACTAGCAAAGTCCGAGTATCTCACACGTGTTGGTTGACCCACTTGTAGCTGCTTCCCCTGCTGCAAACCAGTTGCTCCTTTTCTTCAGTTTTCCTCCTGAGATGGCTCTTCTTTTCCTGCCAATCTCCCAGTTTCCCTGAAGGGCTCTGGATCAAGCAAATGAGTCCCTGGTGATCCAGCTGAAAATTCAGCTTCTGTTACATGGAAATCCTGTGTCTGAGACATGAGCAATAGGATGCTGTAGAGATGCCAAAGTCATCAAAGCTTCCCTACTATCTCTTTTATGTATCCTGTATTTTCACTTATTCACTTTTTTCTTTCTATTTCAGAACATTATCGTCTTTTTTATTTTCAGTGAATATTCCCTGAGCTCTGATTACATAATTCAGTCCAGTAGACGGACAGTGTGTACCAGTTGGGAAAAATGAAGAATAAAAGATAAATTTCGAGGAATTGAGTAAACCTTTCAGAGAAGCAGGTTAATTTATAAAGCATGTTCTATTCTTTACAAAAAAATATCCTTGTAGACCCATTAAACTTCAGCTTCTAGCAGGTGCATTGAATTTTGAGAGCCGGTTTTGTACAATACCAGCCTGATTGAGGGTCCAGGGTCACAGTCTCCCGGGTTCCCATTCACTGGAGTCAGAAAGGGGCGACAGGAGCCTTGTGGGCAGCAGCCTCTTTCTCTTCCAAATCATTTGTTCTTGTAAAGAGATGCATTAAAAGGGTAAGCGGGTAATTGCGAGTGAAATCACAGGGGTGGTTGTGTCGTTTGAGCTCTGAAATAAGTCGCTGAAAAAGAGGGTCAACAAATTGCTCGGGTACAGATTTATAATGCAGATATCGGTTTCCTCGCAGAGGAATCTCGCTCGGCCACAGATTTCTTGAGAAAAGAGCAGTTTACTGAGCTCCCTTTTGAGCTTCTTCATACCAGCAGGTAAAGGGTGATGTTTTGGGGAGGCTGATGCCAATCCTTTTACTTTATCCTTGGTCTGGGGACAGACTCCTGGCTTCTCGCGTCCACAGGGCAGTTTGACTCCTGTGAGTAACCTTGTAAGGGTGCAACTATAAAGACCATCTCCTAACTCATTTAGGAGAGTCCCAGAAATACACATGAAGCCTTTGGAAGGTTTAAAAATTTCCATCCTTCATTAGAACTCCCTTTAATCTCTTTACAGGTTAAAACATGCCTGGAAATGTTGCAATAATGGGTATATTCTGTATACAACTTTGAGAACATCTGTTAAAAAGTAGTTGTATGTCATGCTAATACTGACTCTTTCTTAAATTATTAGTTTAAGTTGTACAGTGTTAGTTGATTTTGGGGAACATAAGAACTGACAGAAAGCTCCTCAGAATATACAGTTATTTAAAAAGAAAAGCAAGATTTTATAGAATATCAGCTCACATATGTAATACAATATGTGCTTCTCCACTACATAGCCCAGAAATATCTGCCCTTTTAGTGCTCTTTCTGTTTCTCAAGATCTGTAGCAACCGTTCAACACTTTAAAAACTGAAACGTTCAAAATACTGTGAGTTACAATGGGGAAAAAATCGTTTTTGACTTATTTGGCTGGGTGAATTACAGTCAGAGTTTATGTAAAATAGCTTATATTTATTGCTTAAGAGCTGGTGTCTTTTTTTTCTAGCAGAAGTTGTTATAACTTTTGAAAGTTAAGTGCTAAGAAGAGAGACAATTTATCGGTGCAAGTCATTAAATGTGTGTGCAGCTGATGCTCTGCCTTACTTGCGGATCAAACGGGTTATAAATCTTCCTAATTATTTTTTTCCCAAGCGAGAAGCACAAATCTAGTTCCTTCGGATTCTGGAGCTGTAGAAAGTGCTGCTGCTCCCGGGCCGTCGACACGCGACTGTGCGGCCACCAAGGACGAGTGACATCCCCAGTCTCAGGCTTCAGAGGGGCCTGGGACGCCTTGGAAACCACCATCTCTTTGACTATCCACCCTTTAGAGACAATAGTGCATGTTGAGCCTTAAAGAATGAGGTCATTTCCTCATAAAACGTAAAAGATAGCTTAAACCCTTTCAATAGCAAGTATAAAAATACCTGAGCTTAATCTAAAACAAGTTGTGACCGGAAGATTAGCAATTTAGTTAGTTGCTCTAGGAAATTCAGCTGTCTGGAAAGCAGAGAGTGGTAATAAAACGTCCCGCTCAGCTGATTGCTGCCTTCACACGGAGATTTCGATTCTGCGCTTGCCTGGGCTCCGGCCTGATGGATGCTGCTGATTACGATGGCTCAATAAGCGTCGCTGGTGCTTCACCCGGGGTGGGGTGGATGATTTGGAAGCTGTTGGCATGCCTTGTTGGGCTTTGTTTTTCCTTCTTTGTTTTTGATTACTCTTCGTGGTTATGAAATACATTACCGTCACCAGAGGCCTCTGCATAGAGAGTATGTAAAATTTTATTGGCAACCATATGTAATATCAAGTTGTCGTTTTGACAAGATGGAAAGTACCTTTTTTATGTGGGGAAATGAAACACAGAGCCTACAAACAGAATAGATTATATTCAGTCTATTGCAATATTTTATTAATTGATATTTTTCTATATTTTACTCAATGCAGTCAATACATCAATAACTATTACAGAAAAACCTGTATGCGTTACAGTTAAGTACTGTTACTGCAAATATATCACAAAGTAAATCACACGTTAGGCTAGGTTATAAAATACAGGGAGCTCAATTCCAATATTATCTTCTGCTTTGGGTTTCTAAGCATGCTCTGGGGCTGCAGATGGTTCAGGAACCTTCTTATACATGTGAATCACCACAAAACAACCCTTCCCAGAAGCCAGGCCTTCTAAGCGGTGGGAAACTCCAGTGTTACACAAGATGCTTGAGGATTACATAGTACATAAATGACTAAATAGCCAAGTGTTTCCTGCTGTGCATATGTTCTTCTTGGCAGACATGTGTGAGCTACTTACGCTGGCAATTGCCGGTGATGGTATCAAGCCCAAGAGATGCTGTAATTTCTGCTTTGCTTAATTCCTCACAAAGCCCTTGTAACTGTGGAGTTCTTATTTCCTTTTAGCATCCCTGCTGTCCCCTTTCATGTGTTTTTATTCATCCCTTCCCTTCTGTGATCTTGAGCTTAGTCCATCTTCTAGCTTTGCTTGACCATAGCTGGTTGTGTGGTCAAATGGGTCCTTTCCCCTTACCCACAACTTGTTATCCATATGACTTGAATTCTTATTGACTTCTTATTTCAAGCAATGTTTGAAACGATCTTTCTAGTTAATAGAATTTTAGTGACTGGTTTCTAAGTTTCTAAGTGATTTGAGTGGGCTGTTTGCTTGCCATGGGCCAAGTCCCTTTCCGGCTGATGTCAGTGAGCGTGTGACTGGGCACAGAATGATTCATAATTCTGGGGGGAATTTTTTTTTTTCCTGATGGAAAAAGGCACATCCTTTCTGGTTACATTCACAGCCTCACTTTGCAACTTGGGGAAGTCTAAGCATGTGTGGTCTGCCAGGAGAATAAGAGTTTGAAGTTGTACCTGACCCTCGACTATTAATAAAATGCCCCAATTCAAAATCTGTAATTGGTTTTGGGTAATACTGTTTAATGCGTTTTGAGTTGCAATAACATGGAAAAGAAACATATCAATCTTGTGATTTTTTTGTGAAGTGTTTTGTTCTAAACTATTTTTTCTATCAGTGTTTTCCATATACCTTGAGACTTTTCCTGCTGTGATAATCATTTCTATCCAAGATTACTCCTCTGCTTTATTTAATTTTTTTGAGTGAATTTAATCCTTGTGAAAGGGGAAAGAAAAAAAATATCAGACCAGGCATTTCTTTTTTCTTTCAAATAAGCATTAGGGCCTGAGGGTTTTAAGTTTTTTTTTTTAAAGTTTATTATTTGTGAATTATGTTTCTGAAGACAAAACTTAGTTCTAAATATAGCAGTGTTAACCTTAAGAGCTAGGACGCGCTGTCCTTGTTTTACATTGGCCATTTTGAGAAGAAACGCGCTAAATACCATGGGCATGAAATTTCCTAATGCTCATTTAAATAACTTTTAAAACGATTTTCTCTCTTTCAGATGATGTTGCTCCGTACTTCAAGACGGAACCAGGCTTGCCCCAGATACACTTGGAAGGAAATCGCCTTGTGCTGACATGCCTTGCTGAAGGCAGCTGGCCCTTGGAATTCAAGTGGTTGCGCAACGGCAGTGAAATAACTAACTATTCCACTGAATATAAGTAAATACAAACCATATAATAGTTGTCTTTAAGTATAATTGAAAAAAAGAGCAAGAGTACTTAACCTTTTTTAGACACTGATGCATTGACTATGTTTTTATTGTGAAGGTTAGCAGTAATTAGAGAACATCTGGGAGAATCTCTTCTGCGAAAATTTGTTTTTTTAAGATTTCAAAGTAGAGATGGTAACGCAAACTTTAATATCAATACTTTTTCTCATGGGGAGATGTTTTATTTGATGTATTTTTAAATCAATGATACTTTTTAAGGTTTTCCTCTTCTGAATGAAAAGAGAAGGGAGTTTGTCACTTGATGTTTGTCTGCTATTCGATGTTTGTCTGCTATTCTAGGTACCTTGGTTCTCCATCACTGTAGTGCCTTGAAAGCAGAGCAAATATTAGATAAATGTTTTGTCTGACTTGCTGCTTATCCTTACAGAGAACTAACCTCAATGGAAGTCCTCTTTAATAGGTAGATGGAGAAATAAAAGAATTTTATTTATTTTCATCTCTGGGAGCATAAAAATTAATCTTGCGGTTTGACAAACTGTTCTGTAGATCTGTGTAGTTCCCAGGACCTCATTCACACCTGGTCTGTGTTCCTTAAGACATCCCATGAGCAAGTGAAAAAATGTACTGTGCTAATCAGAGCTACGTTTTTGCTGTTTTGGAGCAGATGGCCAAACATACAAGCATTGAATGACTGAGTTTCTTCTGCCTTTTCCTTAGTGGGAACCTTAACTAGGTTTCCCCTATGCAGTTGCCAATTTCCATAAACCATATAGAAATTTAATATCTATGCAAATTCTGCACTTCCCAAGTTTTGTTGAAATCTCTTGCTGAATTTGGAAGTTGAGGGTGTGTTTATGTGTAGTAGACCCCTTGCAAAACGCTTCCATCCTTAGTGAACCAGGGTAAATAGTACATTTAGGTAATAATTGCATTGCTTAAGGCAGTGAAAAATCATGCTTCATCATTGTAGATAGAAGTTTTGCCATAGGTGGGGATAAATTTGTAGGTAATGATATGCATTGCTGTGGTATGGGTATAAATCTGTCATTACTGATATGCATTGCTATGGTGCAGCGAAACTAAAGTCTCTACTAGACATTAGGACTTCCTGAGATTTTTTTTCCCTTTTGAGAGAACAGATGCTTCTAAGGGTTGCTATCACTATGAATTCTCTAAGTATTATATTACTAAGTCTATCAAAACGTTTCTTCATATAGAACTGACAATACAGTCTAACAAGATCATCCATAATTGATTTCCTCAAAGATTTCAAAATGATAACATGGACAATAGTGCTGATGTTAAATTTATTTACATTTCTAGAGGAGTAGCACTAGAGTCCTTTAAACAGCAGGTGTTTTAAAAATCCTCTCAGGTCATGTAGTGCACAAATGTATTCAGAGACTGTATTTCCAAAGAAACATGTAGTTTTATCTGCACTTTCCTGAATATTCAAGACCTTTGGTTTAGGTGAGGCTGTTGGAAAAACTGAATATGTGCTGAATAACTTGTTTTTTTCATTAGCTGTTTTTGTTATCAGGCCTTGAAATATGCTCCTATCTTGGGCCCTACATATATCATGCAGTAATGTTTAGTTTATAAAAGAGACTTGTGAATATTTCTAGAGGAAAAAAAAAGAAATCTCTAATAGTACAATTAATCACAAAGGGTTTGAGCATGACTTGGAGTTAATGCCACTGGATTTTTTTTGGAAGACAGAGCTGACAACAGCTGTTATCCATGTAAATGCTGAGAGAGTAAGAGAAAACAACCTTGGGTAAGGCAAAAACATGGATTATTAACCAAAAGCAAACTCACGCTTTGTAGGTGTGCTGGACTTGAGGGGCTTAAACTTTATGATACTGAAAGAAATCTGAGTGAGCCTGTGTGACATTTGGAAAGTAAGAACAGAATGCCATGGTATTTATTAGATATGTGCACGTTCTTAAACTCACCAAGACCCAAAATTATAATTTGACTGTGTATTGCAATATGATTTGGGATCAGGGTACTGAAACGTCTTTCCCAAGCTGCCTGCTTGTGTGTCTGTGGATCTGGGCACACATGGACCTCTTTTCTTATCAGCAGAGTTAATTTACTCTAGTGAGTTTCAGGTCATGATGAAAGGCACATTTATTCATTTTGCATGTTTTATTTTGCCCTTGTTTCCATTTCTTATTAAACACATTGCTACAGAGGCACTTAAGAAGATAGGAAAATATTAGCTTATAATAATTACAATAATACTGCTAGAAAATATTAATTTAAATTTTGCAGCCTTGTTATTAATGTAATTCCTTGCAGCAGTCTGAGGAAAAGCTAAAGAAGATTTTCATTTTATAGGAAAGTTGTAAGCGTGGCTGTCCTAGCAGCCACATAGTTGCCTAAAAAGGATTAAGTGACATAGGTACATTAGGATGAATGAAAGCAAGAAGGGGAAGGTTTAAACACAAAAACTCCAGTTGCAAAATTTCAACTTTGACCCTGTAATAGTTTGTCCTCTTAGGAATGTAAATGTTCTGTGAAATGCATGAATCTTTCTCATATAAGTGAGTTGAGGTGCGGGTTGACTCATCAAATATTTTCAGTAATTAATATTAGTTATTGCAGCTTAGTTAATGTCTATATTGTAAAAGCATGAAAATACTCAGGGCTTATTGCACACTAAAGGAGTAAAGAATAAATTGGAGTCTTTGCATACCGTGGTTTGCCCCTGAATGAACAGCTCGTCTTTATAGAAAGGTGCTGATTAGGAACGCACAGCCGCCTGTTTGTAGTGACTGTGCATACTCTACTTGGTGGTCAGCATTTATAAAAGAACATTAAATAGGCCGTGGTCTGAGACACATGTATTGGAATGAACCGGATCAATAGTGCTGATTGAAGAGCACTGTTAGCTAGTTAGTACGAATTAAGAATGTGTGAAGTTAAGACAGTGACTTTTTTGGTATTTGTCTTTTGAAAGCAATACCTATGCCAGCTGGAGTTTAGGTCACTTGGTGCTCAATTCTGTTTTTAAAATTTTTGAATATATGATAAGCTACACGGTTAGGAAAGAAAACAGGTTTGGCTTCAATATGTTGCTTTTTTCACAAGTGAGACTTTTGAAAATCCAAATTCTATCTGTTCAGCAGCAGTCGGTTCTGAAGTTCTCCCTCCTCACTGTACCTGGAGCAGAGCATCCTTGGGTTTCCAGGACCTTCTTTCCTACCTGTCTTTCATATTAGCTTTATTTGCTCCCTGTCACTTTCCATCTTTCTGTGGAAACTTTATTTCTGGTGGTTGTACTGCTCAAAACAAATTAACTGACTCCGTGGCTTGCGCAAGTCCCCGGAAGCCGTCAGTGGCCTCGGGCACTGTGACGGCGGCCAGTTCTTCTCTCACAAGTGAGAGCGCACACAAAATTAAAGCAAAATGATGCCTTGCTGTGGTAAACAAACAAACAAAGGCCTGTCTTAACCTTTGATATAAATCTAGTCCGTGGAAGAGAACCCTTTGAATTTAGAAAGACCTATTTTTTCTGCCTTTTGCCTATCGCAAAATAACTTGAACCATGAAAGCTTAGCACACACAAAGCAGTATTTTGCTGTGAGGTAAATAGAAATGTATTTTCTAAAAGAAGAAAAAACATCAGTAAAAGAGAAGCTATTTCTATTTAGAAACAAGTGAACTCTCTTCAGAAGCTTTCTGAAAAGTCTGATTGAGTATCCAACAATCTGTGGCTCGCACAAGTTGGCAAAAACTTAATGTTTCCTGTAGTACTGAAGAATGCCAAAGAAAGACCTTCAAATTTTGGCTCCGTATAAGAGACAGGTAGAAAAACAAATGTTGGTTAAGTACAATACTGAATTGTTGGGGAGGGAGAAAACCTTAGAAAGCTAGAAACTGTTTAATAATATTAGCTATAAAAATGAATTGTCAATATCGTTTGATTATATATACACACTACAGTGGAGGTTTGTAGCAGTCAGCTACTTAGTAAAGAAAGGAGGACTCCTGGAAGGAACTAAGGAAGTCTTCTCCATCATTTGGTATCCCGTGCCCTGTATATTCCCCTAGCTTCCTGCTGTGTCTCCTATGGCACATGCAGCAGGCAGCATGCCTAAGTTAGAATTAAATATTTGTTGCAGTTATTTGTATGCTGAAGGCAGCACTGGTTAGACTCTGCCCCCTCTCCCTAGAAATTCTTGGTTTCCCTAGAAATTCCTTTAATCCCTGCAGAAAAATTACCAAGGGAGGAGTAGGAGTCGTCACCAGGATAGATGAGGCCTACATCAGAAGCTGCCTACTTGGGAAGCCAGGGTTTTCTGGGAATTGCTCGGGATTGCTAAAGTTTCTTGGTGGTTCTGGTATTGTAATTCACTGGTTTTTAGGCTGTCTGAACTATTTTCTATTGTGTATTTGATGGTAATTATAATGCAGTGATTATAGTCCCCATTTATCACTTAAACTACATTTCTCCCACCTCTCTCATTTTCATACCGTCTGATTCTGTTCACACATTAGCTCTGTACGTGGGTGTGTATAGTATGTGCAAGTATGAGATGAGGCCTTCTGTAGTAGAATTAAATTTTGAAGATTAAAATTCAGCAGTATTATTTATCATTTTCATAAAGACTTTCATTAATCCTGCTCTAAGATCTCTGAAGGTGACTGGGGGAATTTGCTCTTTGATTAATGTTTGTTTAATGCAGGATTATCTATATTAGTCCTTTGTTTTATTCACATTAAAACTGTGCCGATCAGCTCGTTTTCGTGTTGGACTATCAGATATAGTTGAATGAGGAAGGCGAACATTAGTGGCCGAAGTGACATTTTAAGTACCCTGAAGGGCAGAACAAATATAATGTACAATGCAGTGTGTCTTTTGCAGTGCTCTTCTGAGCTGAGCTAGTCACACAGTGGAGTAAGCACCTTTTTTCATGGGAAAATTTTGATGGTTCTTGCAAGATTCCTTTTGTCTACATTTAAGTTGTGGTTTTGTTATGCAACCTCCAAGCGAAATGCTCGGCATCTTTGCTTGGTGAATGAGGTATCTAAAATGAAGGAAAACACTTAAGTCTATGTCAAGGCAAACTGGGGAGACCAATCAATATTTATCGAGTGTAGGTTTTAACCTGGAAGAGTTTTTTTTTTGTGCAGTTCAAGTATTTTTTCCTAGATATAGTACTAGTGCTATAATATTTGAGATAATGCATAAATTATTAGAGGAGAAATAAGAAATGCACTGATTTGCTTGTACGCCTACCATAATTCTGTATTTGTGTCTCTTTAGGTACATCATCCCAGCTCTGCAGAGGTCCGATGCTGGTTTTTATCAGTGTGTTGTACGAAACAGGATGGGAGCGTTGCTGCAGAGAAGATCTGAAGTTCAGGTGGCATGTATGTTCAAATACAAGTTATTTCATTAGCTAACTGATCTTTTTTCATATGTCAAAACCAGCATAGCAGTCATATTTGCTGGCTTTTCTCTGAAAGGAATGGAGGATTCTTTGGAGTTAGGCTCTAATTTAGTATCTGATTTGGAAATGTTAAAAGTTACTGCTTAACCGTTTACTGGGTAATGCACTTATCTAGATTTATTTTCACTTTTTATGTTAATGTGTAGAAAATATCATCCAAATAGCTTTCAAATAATCCAAGAATTAGACTTTATTCTTTCTCTGAAGTAACTACATTTTAAAGAGAGACTTGTATATTACGAGTAAGCAGTGAAATGTGGATCACATTGCTTTTCCTCAGGGTCAGTAGTAGCAAATGTCACTTCATATGTGGAATTTAGGAAAGAAATTGAATTATTTACTAGAAAACCAATTCCAAGGAACAGATGAAAATGAATAACTGTGTCATGAGGGAAGTTATTTGGAATTTTCTGTGCTTTAAAATAAAAACAGTTACCGATGCTGCTCTAAAGGTTTTGATTTCATGTTCACCAGCCCCCCATATTTATGTATAAAATAAATATATTTAAATTATATAATTACAATAATTATATGTTTGATCTCTCAATGATACAGTTTTAAGGGTGCTGGGAGCCAGCCTACAAGTTCTCTGCTGCTGGGAAGGGACTTTGCTGCTATAACTCCTGCCTTCCCCTGGCTGCCGTGCCTGTATTGCATGATCCTCCTGCTGATGTGGTGCCTGCTCTCATTTCCTTGGACCACTGCAAATATTTTTCTCTGTTTTAATGAACTATGCCAGGCCCAGGAGACCAAGTAAAAGCTGATGCAAAGGGAGCATGGCTGGGAAGCACAATCAGATTTCCAACCAGGTCAGAAGAGGAAGATGGAGCAGGAAGGACAGGGCCAGGGGAAGCAGGGGAGGAAAGAAGTTCCCCTTTTTACAGTGGGAAATGGTTAGATGAACCTGGATGCTTATGGAGTTGCATCTACAGGTGTGGTTTTGGGGGCGAAATGCTTTGGCAGCAATCCTGGTGTGCCATCCACTCATTTTTCCCTCCTCCTTGCTAAGCGTTCCCGCTCCTGTGTTGCACTGTGCCATCCTGTGCCTGCAGGCTGAGCAGAAACACGTCTGTGCAGCTGTGGCCTGGGAAACTCATCCAACATTTTTGGAAAAACAGCAGCTAACTTGTAGAGTTTGTAATAAAAAAAAAAAAATATATTTCTCCCAGTATGGTTCCCTGCAGCTATATTAGCACGGTGGACATGCACAATTTCTGGGGAAATACTTGTGGGAATCGGATAGGAGGGAGGTGGCACTGAAATACTTTGATATTTCTGCTAGAGAATTTTGTCTCCTGAAGACACAGCCTTTTTCCCTTCTGAATAAGGGAAAGATTTGGGATAAAGTGCTTGGTTTCTTTAGGGTTTTTCTTTTGTGTGTTTGGTTGCTCTTGAGAGAGAGGAAGTAGAATAAACTTTTTTTCTTTGTCTCTGTCTAGAGTAACTATTGCTACTATGATTATTTTCCATTTTTTAACAAGCTTTGATGTAAACTAATCATTTTTAAGTTGTAGGGACATAATAAAATACTTCATTTTACTACAACTTGTTGATTTTTCTTAAAAACATACCAGAAAACAGAATTCCAAGGACTTAGGTTATCTTGATCAGGCTTTTTAAGAGCTACCAGCAACTATAAATTTGGTGCTTAACTTTGAGGTGTTCACAGGAAATGAACTTTATGTGCCGCTAGAGAGAACTACTTCCCAATCAACTTTAAAAAACTGAACATATGTAGTGAAAATTCAAAATTCACAAGTATAATATGCATTGGGAAAGATCTGAGGTATTTTCCATGTCCTAGATCTCCAAAGCAGCAGCAGTCTTGTTAAATAATTTTAAAAATTCTTCACAATAAAGTATTACTTAACTGAATGGGAACACATCTTTAGAAGAAAACTGCTGAGTAAATCTTAATTACAGAATGGACTTAAAACTTCTTGGATTGTGAAGACTGGGATAATCATATGACGGTGAAGTTAATTAGATCCACCTACATGGTTTGAAACTTCTTTTCAAGTAGATGATCTGATTACAGTTGTGCGAAATCTGGAGCAACAAAGGAAATTCAGTGCTGATTATGTCTGAATAAATAACTCGGAAATCACAAAGATGATTAAAGCCTCTTTAAAATACCATGTGTTTTTAATTCCTGTTCTTGTTCTGTCTCTTCTCATCTGCTTCCATCCACAGGCCTGATAGTAGCCTCATATGCTTCTATCTCCGTTGCATCCCTTTTTGCTCTAGAGAAATTGGGAAAAAAAAACCCCGTGGTCCTAAAAAATGGCAATTCAGTGAAGGAAACCCAAAGAGTTCTCTGTGCACCAGCTTCTCAGTTTAAAGCAGAATAAAATACATACAGGTTCTTTCAAGAGAGAATAAGTAGGAGCCTACAGGCCTGTTTATTTTAATGGATAGAAATAAGATACAAAAGGCAGAAGAAAAACAAGAGAAAAACATTTACTGTTTTTTCTTTTAACAAGGACTCCATAGATGCATGCACTTGTCTATGAAAAACTTATCCAGAGGCCAAGATTCTGCTATTGTAGAGCTTTCCTCCATTAAAATCCTTATTAAAACCTGCTGTTTAATGCTACAAATGCCTTTATAAATGTCAGAGATACAGGTGTACTATTTGCATCACAGAAGAACTAATAGCTACCAGAACAACCATAGCCTTGTTGTTTTTATATCCATTTGGCCTCTATGAGCTATTCACATAGATCAGGCTATAAATTTGGCTATAAGTCATGCAGCTGTTTTGTCTATGTGTGCACTTACAGATAGAAGGAAAAAATGATTAAAAAAAGACAAACCATTTGCATTTCTTTGCATCACGCAGTAAGCTGTTTTGTATAGTACAAGGAGATATTTTAAAAAAAAAAATCTTCATCAAAACATATTTGGTTAAAAACAGACTCTGCTATTGTAAAAGAACACTTAGGCTGTGCAGTGTTGCTGATTGATGCACTTCTTGTGTGCTCTAGCAGCACTTTCCTCTGCCTTACACCTTAATGCTTGCCCAAATCTGTGTTAATCAGCACTATTTTGTGATCTGTTGTGTCATATTGCCTAATTATAGTGATGATAATGACTATTGTAAAGAACAGTTATTTCTTTCTCTGACCCTGGAGAAGAGAGAGGGCCATACTCGAGTACTTTGATGACGCTTAGTATGATTTTCTTTGCAGATATGGGAAACTTTGTGGATGCAAACCAGAGAAAAACAGTGACTGAAGGACAAGCTGCAGTTTTGGACTTCCTGCACATATCCAGCCACCCGAGACCACAAGTGACTTGGTTTAGAGATGGACACAAGATTATACCAAGCAGCAGAATGTAAGTTGATGCAAAGCTCAAAAGGAAAAGGGGGAGGAAACCACTCTGAAAAATGATTAATTACATTTGATAATGTAACTTACTTTAAGTAAACTAATTAAGGTTTAAAGAGAATAAAGTAGCATAGCTCTGGCTAAGTTTGAGATAAATGCCTATTTTAAAACCAGCTCTGAACTTCCCAAGCAGTTTGACAAAATAATTCATATGCTTTTAATGTTCTTAGTGCAGCATAAGGGAATGAATATGCAGAATGTCTGCCCTCTCTTCACTCTATTCATTTTCATGATACATTTTGGAAAAGTGAATGCTCATCTCTCAATTATGTTTACTTGACTGGGCTAACTTAATGAATACTGAGTGCTTTTGTTATTGTTCTAGCACATAGGACTGAATTTTTACATGGAGTTATGCTCAATACTATCTTCCTCGCAGTAGAATTGTAAATATTGCTTTTTCTTCTTCCTTATCTTTTTAGTATACAATGACAGTTTTATCTCTTTTTGTCTAATTAGCAGTTCACCCACTAATGGCAGAGCTCTTGCACTGTGATTAGTTAAGCATTATCTCCAAGTGTGCTCATTTATCCTTTCCTGAGACAGTTATTAGGCCAACTTGTGTTTTTACCTTCATAATTTTAATTAGAGGTGGTAGGGGCTAGCTGTAGCATTAAAAAAAAAAAAGTCTAAACTATTTTTATTGGTCTATTTTATTAGAAAACTATTGCAATGCTAAGAATTCAGGTGGCTTTTTTGTTTAATTATGTGCATTATATCTTCATATATCCAACAGGATAGAGATGCTAGCAGCTGATGGTTAATGAGATGTTGCCAAGTTCCAGAAGGGTTACTGAATCTTTAGAGTTTGTATTAGCAATAGAAAACTTCTTAGGTTTTAATTTTAATAAACTATACTGTATATTTTAATGCCTTTCATACACATTTCTTAAAGACAAAACTATCTTACCTAAGCCCTTGGAAGCTGCTAAAATTAGTATTGCAAGAATATGAAGCAACTTATGAATAGTTTAATAGTAATTTAAAGAGAAACAGGCTGGAAGATGAAACAGTATTTTGAGGGTGTTCTCTTGGAGAGATATGAGACAACTCCTGAGTTATTTGTTAGGAATCTACTTCTTTCAGTCATGACATGATACAAGTTTTATTTTGTCCGTGCAGTGAATACACCCCCACAACACACACAAAAAGCTAATGGTGAAGAAGCTTCGTTATCCAGGTATCAGGCAGCTGCTTGGGGGCTATTACTGGGTAACTGAGTGATGGAGGCAAGGGCCTGCTGGCAACACCTGGAAATGAGTTCTGTGCAGGTCCCTTTGCGGTGTAATAAAGCTGCAAATATAGATATATGTAAGATGTATTTGAATAGTCTAAACTCATACTCTGTTGCTTGTTAGGGCAAAATCATCTGTAATTCATAGCACTATGGCAACTGTTTACAAGTGAGAAAATTACATTTTTTTTTCCTGTGGTAGGTTATATCTAAAACTGCCTACATGTATTTTTATATCCCTGCTCTGCTGTTTTGTCCAAAAGGAATTTTTGAAGACTTTTGTGTTTGTCTGGTGTGTGTAGGAAGATCTGACCACATTTTCAGTAGAAGTAGATGTGCTGAAATTTTACATCTCCTTTTAGGTTTGATATATGGAATCAGGTAAGCACAATAAGTTCAGGAAATGGCAGGTTTATATTGTGTGTACCAGTTTTCTGTGCAATGTAGGTGCAATGTAGTTTGGTTCCACAAATTATTAGCAATATTAGCAAAATAGTTTGTGGAAATCAACTCACCTAGTGCTGTGAAAACTGCAAATAAACCTTAGAAGTACATGAAACCTGAGACCCAGAGAGGATGTACGTTTAGACATAAAACTAGAAATGAAAAATACCTTTCTCATGGGAATTGTGTTGCTGCTCTGGAGAGCAAGTTGTGCCTTTCAAGTCATGTTTTCTGTGCACACAAAGGTGCATCAATCGAAATGACCAGTTTAGCAACAGATCCAGTTAGATCGAGACAGCCACCTTGTATGGATGCTCTTTAAACTGATTAAAAGTACCTTATATTGCTAAATCAATATAAAGCTTTTTTAATCCTCTTAAACAAGCTTATAATGATTTAGCCAGATCAATCAGCTATTCGGTCAGCTGTAGTAATGGTTCCCAAGAGCAGCCTTGCTGCATCCTATGCAGACTGAGGAAATAGGCAGTACAGAGGATGAGGATGGTAGAGGTACATGTGGTACACGGTAATTTTTCGTCAGTGCTTGTTGGAGACAAACGAAGTTGGCATTTTGGAATTGACTTCTTTAAAAAAAAAAAAAAAAAAAAGATTTTTTCACTGGAAAACCTTCCATTAGTAGTCCATTTATTATTGTTTTATTTTTTTAGGAAAAAACACAAATGATAGATGTTTTTGCTGTCTTCAGTAACTTTCTACACTTAAAAATACTTTCTTCTGCACCCATGTGCTAGAAAGGATGTGTCTAGACTTGTGATAACTTCTTGATAGCTCAGTAGTGCAGTTCTTTGACTACTTCTTGCCTCGAGGGGTAATGAAGAAGGCCTTTCTGTAGAGGTTGGCCTATGTTTACACTGAGGCATTGGTAATTTAGCAGGTTTAGTGCTGTAAGTTGATAATAGTGCCCAGAAATCATCAGTTAATGGATCGTTTTCACAAATGATGGCCACTTCTGCATTTTTAAGGTAGAAAATGTTCGATGTTACACTGAGGCATTTTTTTTGATCCTCTGGCAGAGATTTTACTATTTACCTATTTTACTCTGCTTTAGGTTATGGATTCTCAGAATTGTAGGGAGTGGCTGGTGAAGTAGTTTCTAAGCTAACTTCCAACCCAATTTGTACATGAGGTCTTTATTTTTCCTAATAAGCAGCATTTGGATGAGCATTTCTGCTCCTGCACTCTGAATGACTCCCCATAACTTCAAGGGCAGCACAAGGGAAGGAGAAACCAGCAGGGACTGTTAAAAACAACCCAGTTTGCAAAAGTTGTCCTCCTATTTGATATAAATTTATCCTTGGGATTTTCTGCAGCTTTTGTGTTGATAATTGGCTCACTTGAAGCATTAGCTGATTCCTTCGCTCTGTCTTTATGCTAGTAAAATTCTATCTAACGCAGTGCAGAAAAGTTCTTTTTTTTGTCATGTAAAGACACTGCTGGAGCAGTGGCCCCTAGCGCTAGGGGGACTTTTGTCACTCAGTCACTATAAATGAACCAAATGTGCTTTATCCTGGCAGGCAGATGGCGATGAATTGAATTGCCTTTAGGTATACATGAGTTTAATATCTTTTTTTAATAAGAGTTTTTCATTTCACATATGAATGAACGTGGTCATTAATATCGCTTATGGAGACTGAATGTGCTGGCAAATTGTGAAATGGAAGTATGTTAGGCTCAAGTGGCTCTTATATAGGACTTACTGCGTTTTAGACATCCACTATGTATTAAGCAAAGCTGGTATCAACTAAGGTGATAATATTGCTAATGATAGCTGTAACTGAGCATGCTTTAAAAATAAGAAAATTTAAAAGATATAGAAATAATATATTAGAGGTTGGCATTAGCATTAAATTAGATTGTACCCTGACAACTCACTCCATGTTGCACATAAACATTTTTCACTTCAAAACAAACACTGCATTGTTGTTTTTATGAGCAGTTTCAGTTCCAGCAATGTGTGTCTCTACAACCGCTATCCTGTCATACAACTTATGTTAGTTGCACATAATTACTTTTCACACATACTGGATAATACTTTAATTAAAACTGTGATGATTAGCATTAGTGAGCAGTAAATTCGGAGACTGTCAAGTCTACGGTGTGGTAGCTGTGAACGAAAAAAGGGTTGCAGTGCTCGTACATGTGCTAATGTTTTGAGCTGGAGTGGCACCTCTCTTCCAGAGAGATGACAGGAAAACTGTATGCTGTTTTTTGTCTGACAGTACCTATTGATATATGACCTTGTACAAGGCACCACATTAATTTTAGAATCAACTTTTCAATACCTGAGGATGAAGAAAATTTTGTAGAATTAAATTGTTTCCTTAGCCTGAGATGTGTTAGCGCCCGAGTATGTGTTTAAGTAAACTTTGACACTGAATAACTTCAATTTTAAGCAACAGGCAGCCGTAGAAAACATCCTCCATGGCGTCTTATGGCATTTTCCTGCTATCCTCGAGGGCCGTATGTGTATGAAAAACTGCAGGGAAATCTCCCCTCATCTCTTCGAGTGCTCGGGTGGGGAGCCCGGATGCTGCAGCAGGTTGGTTTGAGAGCTACTACCTCTGCTGTGTTCAGTGCTGGAAAACATTAACACCTCAGAGCAAACAAATCCCGGGATTATTTTCTAAAGCTTGTCAAAATTGAAACTCACTGTTTTTTCCCTCTGCTCAGAATTTGTTTGCCAATGGTTTTAGATGAGGATCTCAAACTTATTCAGAGTGTAGCTTCCAGGGTGCAACCTCCTATGTCAGGCATGTGAAGGAAGAGGTGGGCTTGGCCATGCTTGGGGACCATGGATGCGCAGGAGGGATACAGTGGGAGAGAGGGATGGCAGAGCTCGATCATTGCCAAAGAGTCAGGAGAGAAAAAGAGAGGCTACTTCAAACTAATATTGCGTTATAATGGGCCTCAACCATTCATAGTATATCTCAGTGCAATCTTCAACTGCTGTAAATATCAATAAAACTCTAAAGATCACTGTCTAAGGAGAAATCTGTATACTAGACATTGCTTTTTATGATGATCATGTTTGAAAAAGCAAAATCACGTTTATGTCACCTGTGCTCATTAATCATAGATTTAGAATTTGTAAAACGAAAGGGGAACGAATGGGAGTGTCACTAGCGAGAAACCTTTTGGCTTAGCTCTGATTTAGTTATCGCTGCTTTCCCTGGGAAATTGATTGATGGTTTTGTTGCTTTCTGGGGACTGATGCAGTTTGAGAAAGTAAAAAACATGGGTGGGGGGGG